CCGGCCTCCCCAGCCACGCACACGCGTGGGCCCAGCGCGGCCCGTGGTGCCGGAGCAAGGACGGTGGACACCGGGCTTGTGTTTGCTGTGCTCCCCTTCCCTCCCCGGTTCAGGCTGCGTGGGCTGCCAGGAGCCGCGTGTGCGCTGGCGTGGAAGGTGGGTGAGGGGGCTGTGACTCCTGGATCGCAGGTGAGTGGCGGTCGGGCTTGTTCGGATGCTCACGGTGGCTTGAAATTCTCAGTTGCTTCGTGAGGGCTAATCCGGTCTTGGCAGCGTGTGGTGGAAGGAGGGCTGTGGGAGAACGTGTGTGTGACTGGGTTCTGGTAAGTGGTGATCTGGGAAAGGGGCTGGAGTCGTTTCAGGGACAGCTCTATGAAAGCTACTTGGAACACCACGAAGCTGTCCAGAGTGGGAGGAAGAGGAGTGGGAAATCTAGAGGAAATACTGAAGATGCTTCCTCCTTACAGAAAGTCTTAAACCGTTCTTGCCACATAAGGAGCTTGAACAGGAGTGGTTATTGAAGGCATGGATAGGCTTCCCCAGAGAGAAGACTGTTTACCTCCGTTGAAGGGAAAAATAGAAGGCACTGATCAATAACAGAGTGAAGGCTAACAGGATGAATAGAAATGTCTATTTCCTATCTTGCAAGAAAAAGGCAACAATCGATGCAAATGTAATAAAGCGTACATCCCACTAACAAAGACTTGTCCTGTTTAACAAAGATAAACTCTCACGCTTTTAGGATGTCGGCTAAGTACTAAACAATAGGGCTTTAGGGAGAGTTTTTTTGATGGTGTAGGTATTCCACAAAGGCCTACTTCAGGCTTTTTTTCACCATTGTCCCCAAGAAAATGGGCTTCGAATCTGCCCTGGTCTAGTGGAGCAGTTTTGAAGTCCTTAATGCCGTCGTTGTTATGGTTGTGCTGTAAAGCTTAAGTGGCACATATGCAGCAGGTGGCTGTTTCTGCGCCTGGAGCAGAAGCGATTTGGTCTTGCTGTAAAATGATGGGGAAAGCATTGCTGCTGAAGTCAGTGTTTCTAACCAGTTCGGTGGGGTGGGAAGATGTTTTGCTTGTATTCTGCCTGGGTCTTTATAGTCAGTTCAGAGCACAGAATGGGTTGTGTTGTGGAGATGTGGGGCAGGGGGAGGAATGACTGCAGGTCACTCCGGCATCTTTTGTACTTTTCAGTGGGGCCCAGCTACAGGACAAGGGGCAATGGGCACAAACTGAAGCATAGGAAGTTCCAGCTGAACGTGAGGAAGAACTTCCCTCTGAGGGTGATGGAGCACTGGACCAGGCTGCCCAGGGAGGTTGCTTCTCTGGAGATATTCAAGACCCGCCTGGGCGTGGTCCTGTGCAGCCTGCTGTAGGTGACCCTGCTTTGGCAGGGGGGTTGGACTAGATGACCCACAGAGGTCCCTTCCAACCCTGAACATTCTGTGATTCTGTATTTTTATTTGGCCCTCTCCTTGGGACACATGGCAGTTAGAAGGTTTAGACATGTACAAGCTGGTCAGAAAATAAAGTTCAGCATGACTAGCTGGTTGGGCGTAACGAAAGCATTCCAAACTGGCTGATTTCTAATCATTTGACAGAATCCAGCTAGAAATCTGCCTTGTTCTCTGTCAGCTTGTTTGCCTGTTAGCTGGTAGCAGGCTGGGAAATGAGCTTTTGCAGTTGTGGGATTAGGGTTCTTTTATTCTCATGAGTAAAGGAAGTATATATTTTTTTTCCCCCCAACTCATAATTAAAGTA